ACAGATGCACCAATGAGAAAGTGTGAAACACAAATGAAACCCTCAGCTAAAAGACTGACCCTTTATATTTACAAACAACAGCTGTTTAGAATCTCGTTTCTGCTGGGTGATGTCACAGAATGCACTAGAATTTTGGAATGTTTTTTTTTCTGGAATGATTACGGAATGTCCTTTCCTGTGTGAACGGCGCATTATTGAATTTACCGGTGAAGTCATTATGGTAATATTACAGCCATTTACTTGCATTACTGAGTGAAAGGAGCTTTTGACTTGCTTGTGTCAATCAACAAGGACAATAGTTTCGGCTAAAAACCATCTATTATTATTCATTTGTTCATTTTCCTTCTGCTTATTCCCTTTATTTATCAGGGGTCGCTACAGCGGAATGAACTGCCAACTATTCCAGTATATGTTTTACCCATAGCCGATGCCCTTCCAGCTGCAACCCAGTATTGGGAAACATCCGTACACACTCAGTCACACACAAACACTACAGCACAATTTAGTTCATCCAATTTCCCAATAGCGCATGTGTCTGGACTGTGAGGGAAACCGGAGCAGGCTAGAACATTCAAACTCCACATAGAAATGCCAACTGGCTCTGCCGAGACTCGAATCAGCGATCCTCTTTCTGTGAGGCGACAGTGCTAACCACCGTGCCACCCTATCTTTTATTATCTACTGAAGAAAAACAGCCACCTACAGCTGAAGTCATTGTTTTCTTTTTCCAATATTCCCCAAATGATGTTGAACAGATTTAGGAATTTTCACAGTATTTCCTATAATATTTTTTCTTCTGGAGAAAGTCCTATTTGCTTTATTTCAGCTAGAATAAAAAGCAGTTTTTATATTTTTTAAACAATTTTTAGGTCAGTATTATTAGCCCCTTTAAGCAATATTTCCTCATTGTTTTCACTTCCTCATGTGCTTTTAAACCTTTAAAAGTTTCTTTCACTAACGAACACAAAAGGAGATATTTTAAAGAAAGCTGGTTGCTGGGAAACAAAAATACTATGGAAGTCAGTGGGTGCCAGCAAGCAGCATTCTTCAAAATATCTTCCTTTGTGTTCAACAGAAGAAAGAAACTCATAGAGGTTTTGAACAAGTTAAGAGTGAGTTATTTTTCGCTGGACTATCCCTTTAAGATGATGTAGTTTTCTTCTTAGTTGTCAGCATCTCCTTTACTTCATGTTTTTAAATTGTGTTTATGATAAAACAGGACAGTGATCATGATCAATCAAGAATTCTGAATGCAATCTTGCAGAGCTGCAAACTCCACAGGAGATTTAGGAAAACCGAGATACAATAGGCTGTGTTTGCTCTTCATTTATTTTCATTAGCTATGCCATTCTGAGAAACTAAAGAGAACAAAATCATCTCTTCCAGATAAACTGGAGCTGATATCAGTCAGAGAAACGGAGTTTAGTGTGTTTGGATTTGCCTCTGTGGTGATTTTCTTCTCTAATGAATGAGTTGAGCCTCAGAAGACGAAGACGAAACACAACAAACGCTTTTTGTGAGTGCAGACAGATGCTCAAGACAGTTTTGTATCAGTATCTCTTGTTCCACCACATCCCAAAGGTGCTGTATTGGATTGAGCTCTGGTGACTGTGGAGGCCATTTGAGTACAGTGAACTCATTGTCATGTTCAAGAAACCAGTCTGAGATGATTCATGCTTGATGACGTGTTATCCTGCTGGAAGTAGCCAACAGAAGATGGAGACACTGTGGTCATAAAGGGATGGACATGGTCAGCAACAATACTGAGGCTGTGGCGTTGACATGATGCTCAATTGGTACTAATGGACCTAAAGTGTGCCAAAAAAATCTCCCCCACACCATTACACCACCACCAGCAGCCTGAACCGTTGATACAAGGCAGGATGGATCCATGCTTTCATATTGTTATTGACAAATTCTGACCCGACCATCCAAATGTGGCAGCAGAAATGGAGACTCATCAGAGCAGGCAACGTTTCTCCAATCTTCTATTGTCCAGTTTTGGTGAGTCTGTGTGAATTGTAGCCTCAGTTTCCTGTTCTTAGCTGACAGGAGCGGCACACGGTGTGATCTTCTGCTGCTGTAGCCCATCCGCCTCAAGGTTGGACGTGTTGTGTGTTCAGAGATGCTCTTCTGCAGACCTCGGTTGTAGCGAGTGCTTATTTGAGTTACTGTTGCCTTTCTATCAGCTGGAACCAGTCTGGCCATTCTCCTCTGACTTCTGGCATCAACAAGGCATTTGCGTCCACAGAACTGCCGCTCACTGAATATTTCCTCTTTTTCAGACCATTCTCTGTAAACCCTAGAGATGTTGTGCATGAAAATCCCAGTAGATCAGCAGTTTCTGAAATACTCAGACCAGCCCGTCTGGCACCAACAACCACGATCAAAGTCACTTAAATCCCCTTTCTTCCCCATTCTGATGCTCGCTTTGAACTGCAGCAGATCGTCTTGATCATGTCTACAAGCCTAAATGCATTGAGCTGCTGCCATGGGATTG